GGTCTATAGACAGATTTTTTTTTTTCCCCAGCAGCTCTAATCCTCTTCCATAGATTAGCTTACTTATGAAAGAAAAGAAAGGGCATTCCCTCAACATGATAATGCTTCTGCCATGTTTCCGAGGGCAGATGATGTGTTCAAGGTTGATTCTCTCTCACACACACACAGGTTTGTTTTCAGCGGTTTTCTTCATGCCACTGTGGCCTGAGAGCTGAGTCCATGACTAACAGTTCACCTGTTGACCCGAGCTCTGAATCTGTGATTCATCAGGTGTTCCTTATTTCACTCTGCATTTGTCTCTTATATAAGGTCTGTTTTTCCCTGATGACTGAAACTTTAGAGCTAAAGTATGGTATGCACACTTTCAACAATCTATACCACAGGAGGACATTAGAAGTGACAAGGTGTGAGTTCCTAATGCCAGGCGATAGACAGACAGACAAAGTGCAAGTGGTCACGGTTTGTGTCATCCCAGGAGTTACTGTTGCTGTGGTAACAAGCATCCTTCCTCCTCACCAGACAAAAAGAGAAAAGGAGAATGAATATATGTGTATAATCAGGGCACCATTGAAACAGTGGAGATGGAAGCAATTATAAAGACTGAGTGGTGCGAGAACGGGTCACAGCAGCGAAGGCAGCGAGAACAAACAGAGAAAGAGGTGAACGGCTGATACTGCTGCAGACAAAATATAAGTTTTTGAGAGCTTTAATTGGAGAATGAACAGCTGTTCAGTTTGACCCACGTTATCTCTGCATACAAGCTCAACAGCAAGACCAAAAGAGAGAAAGAAAGCTATGGAATGAAGAAAAATATAGAAGCTAGAACAAACTGTGTATTGAGGGGGGAGTTACGAGATGTTAGTTTGAAAGCAGTCCCATATTTATGAAAAAACGTTTTACAAAGGGATTATGCATAAATTTACATAGAAAAAATTGTTAGTTTCCCAGAGACTCGCATCAAGATTTCCAGGAAACCAGATAGAAATATTTGGGACATGGCATACAAATAAAATGTTGTACATAAGTTCATATCATACAGAATTTTCTTTTCTTTTTTTTTTTTTGGTTGATGGTTAATTTAAAATTAACTTTTAAAAGAGGTTTAAGTTCTTTTTTTAAATGAAAAAATTATTATAAAAAAGGAGGGGATGTACTAATCAATCAGAATCAGTCAGTTCTCCCTTGTTTTAATACAACGATCATTTTGCCTGTTGTAATATTTTTAAGTCCTGTACATTATGAAATGTATCATTTTTATATTACTGTTACATAACATGTATTTCAGAGACATTGTGTTTTAATAAGTGTTTTAAGCATACACTTCTTAAAACGCAGTAAAACGGTGGTTGGATTTATGCACCAGTCCTACTTTCCAAAGAATCTTTAGAAACTGATGGAAATGTTCCATTATGTTAGAGCGAGTAAAAACAGTAATGAATAGATGCATGACTTGAGATGTAAGCCGTTTAAAGCCAGTTCTGACTGATGCTCAATAAAGCTAATCCAAGTCTTGGATTGTGCAGGGATTCACATGAAATAATAGTCTTTGTAATTTCGACGAATTCTGTGACAGTCATTTAAATACGAAATACAGTTCTGAACAAAAAAATGTTAAGACAGACAAAAAGTGTTATTTGTTAAAGATGCTATTGCTTCTATGCATTTTTTATGGCATACAGAAGTTTGTAAATAAACATTTTATCAAATTTAAAGGCTTTTATTGTGAAATATTGGTGCAAAGCCTCTGTGGGCTCTCAAAGGGAGCATGACCTATAGCTTTTTCTGGACCAAAAGTTTGAGTGTTTAAATCCATAAGCCACTTTATCACTTCAACCTTGTCACATGGTTGTGTGTGTTTTTAGGGACAACTGTGAACAACCCCACTCTTTTTGGGCCAGAGGCATGAATGGTTTCAAATGAATGGTCCTGAGTCTCAGTGTGACTCAGGACTCGTGCTGCTGACCTTTTCTTCTCCACACAATGCTTTTCCCAGATCTCCCATACAATCTGAAGGGTGCTTCACTGAACAGAACAATACACTGTAACTAAATAACACCACTCCTCTGACAGAAGATATGAATAGTTTTTGAAGGAACACGGCAAATGCATATGTTCAGAACTTATAAAGCAACAAGGAACATATTTTAAGAAGCCAATGCTTGATATAAAGATTAGAGGACTTGGAGGTGTGTGCTATTGAACTTTGTTGGAAACACTACAAGATAAATATGCAAAGTCACAAATGTTGGTCAGAGCTGAAGTGTTTTCACTCAGGAAACCCTGGAGCACATCCATGCACACATACACAGCCAGAGCTATTGGATCAGAGGTGCTCAGCTGTGCCTTGCATGGGGAAAAGGCCATTAGCTCTGATATAATACATCCATTCCTCAGCATAACACACTTCAATAACACAGACATATTACAACTCTAACTTTTTCACTCTGCATGCCAAATCCTTATTACCCCTTATAATCATATACACACTTCCTGAATGCCAATGTAACCCATCGAACCAATCCGGCTCAGCCAGACCAGCTTCATGATGGGACAAATCATTAAAACAAACCCTCCCTGGCTTCTTAGCTCATAGTTACGCCATTTACAGCTAATCCTCATTTAGCACCACAAGCTAAAATAAATCCCTGACAATGCATCTTCTATCCATTAAGGATCTCCTACTACAACATACTTAACTTTAATGACTCAGGAAACAGCTAACTGTATTTATCAAAGTGAAAAAGCACACTTTAGACATGGAGACTTGATTGAATATAGCTAAATCTAAATACAGTGACACGTTTTTGTTTGTTCTTTTTAAACAGACTTCTTCCAGGGTTTTCTACAACAAGGTCACTACAGTCCATCACTGAATAAATCTCCTATTAAGGTCAGTAAATTGCTAAGCAAATGGGGAAACTATAATCCATTCTTCCCAAAATAAACCTGGATTTACTTTTAAAATAGATGAATAGAAAATTATAAAAATCTACATATTTAGACTAAGGGCTATGGTAATGATTGCATGGATCTAAGACTAAAAAAAGAGTTGCACCTAATTTTATACCTTTACTTTTTGCCAAGTGGTTCAAACCTTTAATTAAGTCATAGCCTCGAATGTATTTTTAGTCAATGTCAAATCAATACACACCCTCAACAACAGAACATAAAGATGAAAAATGGGATTGGTGGGCATGATGACACCGAGAGGCAACAGGGCTAAGGCAGCTGACCAAGACACACAGGAAGTTTGGGAAAAGAGAGAGGATGAGTAACACTCTCCCACACCTTTAGACATGTCTAAAGCCAAAAAAACAACTCCCACACATGGCAGAGTGGATGGAAATAAACTGGTTATAGATTAGTTGCAGTCTGCCCTATCCATTTTTATAATGAGTTCAAATTTTTGTGTGATAAATGTCACATAACAATAACTTGCAGTAACCTGAATACTTAGTTTCTGAAACTTTATGATATTTTTGTTTTGGTACAAGATGAGTCATTCCAAACTGCAAAAATGAAGTAGTCCACATAGTGTCTTTAAAGACAATCAGAGCAAAAGATGATTGACATAAACAAGACAGAAGCACAGAATAAGTGTTGCAGAAAAAAAACTATTGTTTTTCTTTATGTTGCAAAAGCATATCACTTTCAATCATTTCAACATTTTAGAACAACAACTGTGTATTCTAAAATCTTAAAAAGTTTTGATTTCAAAACACTGCCTGTAGTTTCACTTGAGCATCACTTAGCACACCATGCTTGTTTGCTTAAACAGAAATAAACAAAGTCAAGAAAAGCCATTTGGCTAAAGGCAATAATGCACAACTTATTGCTTCTATTGAGCTCTGCATAGATTAGTAAATGAGAGCATAACCAAGACATTGGTTAGGGGTCTGTAACCCTAATTAAATAAATAAATAATAAAAACTTTTTTTTGCCCTTTGCCCAGCTTAACAAAATTGGTTTAGAGTCAATACCTTTGATGTCCTAATAAAAAAAAACAACTTTTAATATATTCATTTAGACAAAATGGAACTTCTTGTCATTTTATTAGAATGACCAATTTATCTGAAACTTTAGGTTTAAAAGAAAAAAATCACAAACTTCTTCATTTTATTCTGTAGGATGATGATATTTGTGGAAGATAAGGTAAAAAAAAATAGTGGCAAGATAAATTATTGGTACTTTCAGTATCATTCTGTTGTGTAAATTCCATTCAAATATTCCATAAAAAACATCCTTTGTTATTAAATCTATATTTAAAGTCATTAGTTAGGTCTTTTAAAAAATATTTTTAGTTAGTTATTAAGAACCAGTGTGAAAGAGATATTTGTATGGAGCTTCAGTTTACAGACCCCTGGGTTACAAGAAAAAAACAGATTTAGCTGCAGATGCCAGTGCATCTCAAATTACAATATTATCATTGTGAAGTTAATTTATTTTTGTCATTAAATTCAAAGTGGCATACTTGTATTTATTTCTTTGTGCCATGTCAATTTAATTCCAAAAGAATTTTGGGTTTTTACTGGCTGCAATAATAAACCTGTCTTTTTTTATCCAACTCTTTTCAATTTAAATTCTTACTAATGCACAATGACCCAGTTTACACATTTCTATTTTCTTATGTGAATTTATGGGTGCATGTGTGCAGAAGTCTTCACTTTAACAAAAATCAGACATAAGATATAAACCTAATCCAGATCTTGTCTGACGCCTGTCCATCACGGTTTAAAGGCAGAAAGGAAGTGTAATGCTATCTTTCTAGATGAGATTTCTGATCTACAGAGAAAAAAATAGATTCAAAAAAAAGGAACTGTCCAAACATATTTTGACTGACAAACAGCAGAAACACAGAAAACAGCAAGATCAAAAGCATTCATGAGCCCGAGTCTGTATCCTGCCATTCTTAGTGACACTGTAATGACATCTCTGCCAGTAGTAAATCTTCCAAACATTTGGTTATGTAATGGGGATATTTTGGGAGCATGATGACTTACATTGTTGGGAGACACTGTAAGAACACTCCTGCTTTTCCTCATCTTTCCTCGAGTAACTCCCCCTGCAGTCCAACCGCAGAAGCTTCACATGAAAACCTAGAAAATAAAAAAGCTGTATTACAAATACAGACTACAGCAGATTCTGTAATAGAAAAGTATGTATGCAAAAGAAAGTTTGATGTGTAAATTGATAGTCTTTTATGTTGTCTTATTCTTACAACTTATTTAATAATGTTATTCAGATAAATACAGGATAATTTCTGTTTTGATAATTATAAAAGTTCATCCAAAAAAATAGCATTTCTAATAGATGACAGTAACATTTTACAGCCTTTCAAATATAATTCTAGTATAAGGCTTTTCTCAAATTAAAAGAAATGACAGCACATTTTTTCATCTTCTTTACAGCCAATATAAAAATTGGCAATCCTGAGTCTCCCTAAGTGTTCAGCACAGTTTAAGATAGAGCAGGTTAATAATTCAAAGCAGCAGATAAAGATTGACTCCTTTGTAGCCGAGTCTCTCAGTTAAGATAATTCAGAAAGTGATTAAAAAGATGCTAGATGCTTCCTCATGTGATCCAGGAAGGTCTATTTTTGTCTTTTGTTTCCAGTATATGAAGAGAAGCGGGTTACAGCCCAGCAGTGCTCGAAACACGTAGAACGGGACAGATAAATGGAAATTATGACAAGGGTGATTTTGTAAGCACATGGATAATTGGAGGAGGAGGGGTTTGGAAGAGAAGAGGCAAAGAGTGTTATAATGAGTACAAAAGAGGATTAAATGAAACACAGATGAAGTTGGGGGCTAAATGGAAAGATTTAAGAGTGTGGTTTTAAACTGGTGAGTGCTAGAAGAAACTAGGATAAGAAGAGTTTGCTACTACAACTAGTAAAAATGCTGTCTGGTAAAGTTATGATAGAAGTCAGCATTAAATTATTCAACATCTTTTTCTTGATCAGCTTGGACCAGTTAAACTGGTCAAAATATTTTTAAACTTTGTAGTCTCTTCATTTTCTGTTGGATTAAAAATTAGCACTTTCAACAAACCTTATGCTCTTTCTATAGAAGCTTCTTAGATTTAATACTGAGCAGTGATACACTGCTCAGTCTGAGTGTTTCTCAGGAAGTGTCTCAGAGTCTTAAGCACAAAAGAAAGGAGATGTTGGTGCAACCTGGAAGTGCTTATAATGTCTCTAAATAAGATTGTTGCTCAGCTGGCCTCTTCTGGACTGGATGTGGCAAGACAGATGTGTTTTTCTTTTCTTCGACCAAGAAATAAAAACATAAAAATCCAATTAAAGTTTGCCCATGAGCATTTGAAACATATTGATGTGTTCTGAATGTCTGTCCTTTGGTCTGGTGAGACTTTAAGCATTTAAAAAAAAAAAAAAACTATTTAAAGAAATCTGCTGTCTCCCGGCAGGCCCCCACTGTCCAGCAACAAGGTAGTGACCAAGTTTGTCACAAACCTTTTGAGGAACAAAAGCTTTGTTTCTCAAAAGGGCCCTAGAGTGACAAAAGACGCTGACTGATACACAGGAGAGAAGAAGAATTATGGTATGCTTATTAAAAATAAATAAATAATGTATTGTATCTTAAGACGCAAGTAATGACGAACACCATGCAACGTACAACTCCAAAAATCTTTGGTCAAACGTTCCTTCTAGTTGAGCTTCCATATTTTCAGATCCAGTTTTCCAATTCCTGCCAACATGCTAATAAGCATTTAAACTCAATTTTCCCCTTTTTTTAAAGATGGATTATTTTACTGCTTGCAACAGTTTTTGGCTCCTAACTTTATCATAGTAATAAATTCTGTTTTGTGTTTTCTCAATTGACTCCACAGAAATTTTACGAGGAAAATCTTCTCAGCATTATATTGTCAACAGCAAATCTCATACAGTCATGTGGGTGAAAAGAGCCATTAAGGAATTTATATGACAATATTTCAAAATGTGTTTAATGAGGGAATCGTCAGTTTTCCGAGGCTTCTTTATGGAAATGAGAACCAAGTCCTAAGTAGCACAAATCAGAGTAATAAACAATTAAAGTAACAGAAACAAGAAATGAGTGTTCATGAGCAGATCTGAATATTATGTTTGGCATGTTTATGAACACAGATTTAGCATCAGAGGATGAAACCTGCTAACAACTAGGAGGATGTTTGAGTGTGTTTCTTGGGGCATTCTAATTAGTTTTCCTTCAGCCTAATTAGCGACATTAGGGAAGACAGGTGTAAAGAGAAGAACAGCTTAAAAAACACCTTAAACCTTCAAAATAGTCAGCTTTTGGATACATGCAGCTTGTCAGAAACACAACATCAACAACATCAAATATTACATTTTTGTGGAGATGAATATTTACAAAGGGTTAAGTACTGGGTGTACTAGAAATTTATTTTATTACTTTTTTATTGTTTGCAATGTCACAGTTAATCAGAGGTCAAATAAACTCTTGAACATGAATAACTGATTCATATAGAAGAACATAAAAAACTGAACCTACTGCCTATGGTTCATGTATTTATTTTCATTTGTCTCCAAGAGAAACAAAGTTAGCTTTCATGGCAAAATGTGACAAGGCATTCTGTCACATCTGATTTGGATCCTTTTACGCTCTGGCAGGAGTACACCACTGTGACTGAGGGGAAAGCAAGCTGTGCATCATGCCTAATGGAGCAAAGATAACAAGGAAAACCCTCAGCATGTTTGTCTTATAGACCGCCGATCACAGGGAGTCTCAAAAACAGCCAGAGAACAGAATCTACATCTCAGTCTATTTGGGGGTAATTTCTAATTACCAGAACAACATACTGTGTGCCTTTAAAATATTGTCTGTAGCCAGAAACTGTGCAGTACAGGTCATTTATCATTCAATATTAACTTTTTCCCGAAAAAACACTCATGTGATTAATTTTGCAACATTTTTCTAATACTGACATTCATAGTGAAAGAAGAGAGTGAGACTGCATGGCTTGCTGCAGCTTTCATACATTGCTGATATTTCTTACCCAACTAGACATGAAAAGGATGTGCTCTTCACTGACAAAACCAGGTGGTTTGCCAAATAATTGTATGATTCATATTACACATATCCTCTAAAATCCACTCCATCTTCCCACAGCAACTGCTTTTGGAATGTACTTTTCCCAATATTTCTGCATGTGTCACCGTTTCTCGCTGCCTGTCATCCAAGATGAGCTCAGGGTATGTTACATCATTCCAAACACTCTTTACATCCTACACCACTGCATTTATAATGACATTCAATTTCCTCCAGAAACATGCTCATCTCTTGGAATAGAAAAAAAAAAAAAAAAATCATTTCACACATTGGTGCCAAGTGGGTGGATAAAAGGACACCCACAGTCCTGAAGGGGGTTTTCATCTGCAGCCAAAATGGTTGCTCACCATTTGACAATTCCCTCCCATCTCTCTTGTGTGGTTTCTATCGAGGTATTCCATCAGATTTAAGATCCATCACCTGCCTGTTGCATCTGCAGCATATGCACTTTTAATAATCTTTCCAGCTGCACATTATAATTTTTTGCTTTATCTAAAATATATCTATGACATGCCAAAGTTCACACAAAACACAATCATTTACAACAGCGGTTTTTGATCAGCTTTTATTTGGCTTCTTTTAATGAGGCAGCACACAACACCTAGACCTCCTGCTGCATTTAAGAAGAGGGAAAGTCAACAAAGACCTTTAAGCAAAGTTCATACCATTCCTCTTTCAAAACAATACAAAGGAGCATGGGGAAGCCAAAGATTATTGAAACAAAAATGCACTCAACATCAAATTTTACTAAAAATTTTCAAAAATGTCTGTCTGGTTGAATAAAAGTATCTCAATGTAAAAGGAACTTCATGCTTGTCATGCGATGTGGTTGGTGGTGGTGAAGTAGAACGCAGGGACCCAGATGAAGACAATAATGATGAATTTAATGACGGTCCAACCAAACAGAACAACAGGCAGCAACACGAGGAACACACAATGACGAGCCAACAAGAGACAAAGCCAACAGGTGGACTTAAATACACAGGGAGGGTAATCAAGAAATGAGACACACCTGGGAAGCAATCAACGGGGAAGACGCAGAGACAGAGACTCACAGGAAGGAAACTGAACACAGAAAACCCTAAAAATAAATACACAGAAACACAGATCATGACAATGCTGAAGGTTTTCAACTTCTTAGGAATAGAAAGACAAGTATTCAAACTATGCATTCCCCAATTGTAAGGTAATTATGAATTAGTTCAACAAAATCTTAAAGGGTTACAAAGTTTCAGAGAAGCAGAATATTATAATTCCCTTTCAAGGGCCTGATCAGAATTTGACAATGGTCAAGTCTTGATCGGATTAGTGAAAAGTGTGCATGTGTGTGAAAAGTCAGATTGCTGATCGGTCTGTGCCGATGCCTAAAATGAGTAATGTCTAGTTTTGACATGAAGCAAACATGCATTAGAAAGTTGGCATTCGACAAGTTGGCAAAGAGTGGAAGCAGGACTGAAACACACAAATATGTCGCACTGAACAGCAGCTTGTGTTGTTAATTCTTAAACACAACCAGACCGCATTACTTTTCATTGCTGTAGCTCTTCAATACAAAAGTCATTTTTAGAGTAGAAACAATTACAAAGTACAAATAAATTTTAATAAAATGGAAAACAAACTTCCACAGTCACATATATTTTAGGTGTAGAACAGCTATTTTATCTATAGCTTCCTATCATAGTATTTTGTATGACTTTAAAAAAAAAACAACCTCAGTTCAGTTTTAACTATTCTGTATTTAACAAATATGGAGGAAGCCCCAATTTAGATTTCTATAGCTAGTGATCTTCATGTCTCTGATTAATACAAATTAAAATCACGTTTTAATTTCTTTAAAAAAGTGTGATGGAAATTCATATTTGACTTAGAAGGCAGTTGCTTAATTTTGACCAATCCAAAGCTTATCTCCAATCTTATCTGCTTAGCAGGGACACACATGCAGGCTGATCGGTATGTTAATTATTCTGTTATCTCACTTATGTTATTAAGTCAGCCAGCTGCATCTCAAGCTCAGAGAAATGTATTCAGTC